ATATATATATATATAGAGGAAAAAAGAAAGAAAAAAAAAGTTTACCAGATTTAGCATCATTGGATGTGCTCTAAATCTATTTGCACTTAACATTATTCGGATGTGTATTTCATAAATATTTATTGTATGTAAATTTTTTTATAATACATTATATATACAAATAAATTTATATTTAGATATATAAATTATATTTAATTTTTTATAAATAGATGTTTTGAAATATATAAATTATATTTTAGATTTATGATAAATAATATAAATTGTGACACAAGACTTTTTTAATTATTGATAATTTTTATAAAATATTAAATTTTATTTTATAAATAAATATTAGGTTAAATTATCCTTTTAATCCATTTATTTATTTTTAAGATTCAATTTGGTGTCACTATTTTTAAATGGTTTAATTTGGTCCTCTAATTTTTTTAAAATGTCCAATATCTTTTCATCTAACAAACAACATTAATGAAATTAAATGGAAGAGCAACATCTAATATCATTTGAAAACTAGATGATCAAATTGAACTATTTAAAAATAGTATGGCAAAACTGAACATTTCATAAGGGACTAAATTGAACAAAAATTTATATAACATTTTTTGTCTAAATAAATTTGATTTTTCTTTTATATATCTATTTAATAATTTAGTATATTAGATAACTCCTTCATTTTGTGATCATTTTTTTTTTAATTTCAAGTACTCAATTTGTTGTCATTATCTTGTTAAGGTATGTAAAAGAAAATTCAAATTTATCTAGACAAGAAAATGTTAGATAAAATTTTATTCAATTTAATCCTACTTTGTTTTAAAATGTTCAATTTGGTTCAACTATTTTTAAAATGTTCAATTTGGTTTTCTAATTTCAAAAAATCAAAAATATTGTCCTTTTTATCTAATTTTATTAATGTTGTTAATGTTAATTTGAACGAAAAATTATATTGAACATATTTTGAAAATTAAAGGACCAAATTGATTTTTTTTAAATAGTGGGACTAAATTTAATATTAAAAATAAATGGAGGGACTATAAATATAATTTAGCCTAAGTATTATAAATAAAAAAATTAAATTAGATAAAAAAATTAAAAGAATCCCTAAAATTGGTTCAGTCAAATAATAACTCCTAAAAATGCTTAGTTTCAACATGATACACCTTGTTCTTTGCTAAATAGATAACACTTTTGTTAAACACTGCAATTGAACTCCACCTTGATCAATGCCAAACTCCTTTACTAGCTCTTTAAGCCACAAGACCTATTTACTAGCCTTTGCTACTACAATGTATTTTGGTTTAGTTGTTGACATTGCCATAATTAATTGATTTGTTAATTTCCGACAAATACATCCTCCTATAAAAGTAAAAACATACCCTGTCGTAGACCTTCTATCATCCAAGCCACCAACATAATATGAATCAACAAATCTCATAATTGGAAGATCACCTTGCTAACTACCAAACATAATACCATGACCTATTGTGTCTTTTTGGTACCTAAAGATCCATTTCATTGCTTTCCAATGTTGCTTACTTGGCTTGGACATAAACGTGTGCTATATCTGGTTTAAGGCAAACCATCAAGCTATCAACTACACTAGTATAGGGAACCTTTGACATGTATTCCACTTTTACATCTATCTTTGGGCACTATTCCATAAAAAGTTTGAAGTGATTTCCTAATGGAGTACTCACTAACTTAACATTTCTCATACCAAATCTATTTAGAACCTTCTTAACATAGCTTTGTTGTGAGAATCATAATCTCTTAGAACTCCTCTCCCATTGAATATTCATCTAGAGAATTTCCTTGGCATGACCTAAGTCCTTCATGTCAAACTCCTTACCCAACATGGTTTTTAACTTATTAACACGACACAAATGGTTAGCAGTAGTCAACATACCATCAACATAAAGTAGCAAAAAAATAAAAGAACCATCATCAAGGCTCTTCCCATAAACACAATAGTCATGCTCACAACGTCTATATCCAATTTGAAACATATAAGAATCAAACTGCTTATACCATTGCCTTGAAGACTGTTTTAAACCTTACAAAAGCTGCTTTAATTTACAAACTAACCAACCTTGTACAGTTTCACTGAACCCCTCTAGTAGCAAAAAAATAAAAGAACCATCATCAAGGCTCTTCACATAAACACAATAGTCATGCTCACAACGTCTATATCCAATTTGAAACATATAAGAATCAAACTGCTTATACCATTGCCTTGAAGACTGTTTTAAACCTTACAGAAGCTGCTTTAATTTACAAACCAACCAACCTTGTACAGTTTCATTGAACCCCTCTAGTTGCTCTATGTAAATTTGTTCCTCTAGATCATTGTGAAGAAAAATTGTCTTCACATCCATCTACTCCAAATGCATATAACAGTTAGCTACCAAGGCTAACACTTCCCTGGTAGAAGTATGTTTCACAAGTGGAGAGAAAATCTCATAATAGTCAATCCTCTTATGTTGTGAATACCCCTTTGCTACAAGACAAGCCTTGAAATTTTCCTATTCTTTTTCCGATACTACAAGCTTCCTCTTGTACACCCATTTTCATTCAATGGTTTGTTTTCCCTTAAGAAGTTCAATTAACTCCCATGTTTAGTTCTTATACAAATACTCCATATCCTTTATCATGGCATCCATCCTTTTATCATTCTATTGACTTTTTATAGTCTTTTGAAAGTTAAATGGATCTTTTGAACTGATTAAAAATGCAAAAGAAACCAGATCTTCAAACCCATACCAAATGGGTTCTTAATTGTACGACGTTCCCTATCTTTTAACAAGAGTGTATTGTTGTTGTTCACCGAAACTATTAAAGTCAAGTATTGATGTGTGTTCAAGTCTTGGACAACAATTTTCTGCCCTCCAAAAATAATTTCCAGTTGCTCAATGTCCACCTAAAACACCTTAGAGTTAGAGACAACTTCGTTTATCAAAAGAACTACAATGTCAGTCTCAACTATCTATTTTAATATGAACTACTTATCAAAGACTACATTTTTGCTGATAACCATCTTCTCTACAGTTAGCTCCCAAAACTTGTACCCTTTCACGCCTTTAGCATAACCTACAAAAATGCACCTTTTTGACTTTGGATCAAGTTTAGACATCTCATTATTAGATATATACACAAAATGTAGGACACCATAAAATTCTTAAATTATCAGAATCCATTGGCTTAGTTGTCCATACCTCCTCTACAACTTTGCAATTCAATGAAGCTCGTGATAATCGATTGAGTAGATAGCATTCCATGTTGACTACCTCTATCCTAAAGCCCTTAAAGTGCCCAATATTTAGCCTCAAACATCTAGCCCTTTTAAAGAGGGAATCATTCATCCTCTCTACAACACCATTTTGTTATGATGTTTTACGGATTGAAAAATGCCTCTAAATTCCCTATTCCTCATATAATTTTTGAAATCATGAATTTGTGTACTCTATGCCATTATTAGATCTTATATACTTAATTTTTTTGCTCATTTGGTTCTCCACCTCAACATTCACAACTGGAACTTGTCAAATACCTAAGATTTTTGCTTAAGGAAATACACCCAAACCTTGTGAGAAAAATCATCAAATAAAGTTACAAACTATTTTAAACCCCCCAAGGATGGATCTTTAGTAGTCCTTCATACATCAATATATATGCACATAATCTAGAATCCCATTGGTTGTGGGTTTTACAACTTAATTTGAAATGAACTATAGTTTGTTTCTCAAGCACATAATACTTGCACAAATCTAGCTTGCAGTTTCGAACTCCTTTTAAGAGACCCCTTTTATGAAGTTCTATCATCCCACGTTCACTAAGATGACCCAAACACATATGTCATAATTTTGTGGCATCATCATCTAAATTAATAGAAGAAAATCCACCTACAACTATATTCCCCAATAGCCTATAAATATTGCCTGGTGTCCATTGTCCTTTCATCATGGTCAAGGCTCCCTTGCAAACTTTAAGGGTATCCCAATCTCTGCCTGTCCTATAAATGAAATCATTTGCCTACAAGCTACCAAGTGAAATCAAATTCTCCCTCAAGTTAGGGATGTGCCTTGCATCACAAAACATCCTCACCCCACCATTATTCATAGCAATTTTAACTTGTCTCATGCTAACAATAGCACAAACTACTCAAATAGACAACCAAAATTGCCTAACCTGAATGTGGTCTACCACTCCATGTTTTACGTAATATGATAAAAACATCTAGAATCAAACATCCAAGCATCTATATAATGATTGCATGAGACAAAAATAACATCTCCCTCACTATAGTAGTCATCAGTCTTTACCACATTTGTAGAAGGAAATGATCCTTCACCAGATTTCTTCTAGTTTGGACAATAAATCTTGTAATGTCCTATCTGTTTGCACTTATACCATATCATTGTCTTTCTGCTTTTAGAATTTGACTTCCCCTTCACATACAAACCCTCGCCTTGAGAACCCTAATTTGCATTTTGATTCCTTTGATTATGAGACATAAATTCAACAATGATCTCTTCTTGATTGATCGTTTCTTTCTCGTATATAAGGATGGTCACCAAGTGATCGTAAGAACTTGGCAAAGAACATAACAGAATCATCGCTTTACCCTTATCATCATTCTCACATTGAGTCTCAAGAAATAACTTATTGTTGGATTGAAGACATTGATTTGTTGTTGCAAATGAGCCCTTTTCTCACATCTTCAACCCATATAGTCTTTTATTGGCATACAATTTATTTGTTAAGGACTTGGACATATATTGACTCTCCAATTTCTTCCATCCTCCCTCAGAGATGTTAGGTTCATAACATTATATAGCACTTCATATGCCAAACAAAGTCTTATGGTTCCTGCAACCTTTTCTTGTAACTTCTCCCAATCCAATTGATCTATGTTGTTAGGTTTCTTCTTGCATAATGCCTTTAGAAAGCCTTGTTGTGTCAACAAATCCTTAATCCTCATTTGTCATAATCTGAAATAAACAGTTCTATCAAACTTTTTGACTTCAAATTTTACAACAAGGGTTAAGCGTCATATGATACCAATTGTTAGCAATAACAACCCAATTCTAAAAGAAGAGAATAAATCACTCAACACACAAATAACAATTTAACAAGGTTTTTCAAAGTGCCTACATCGTTAGGAGTAGAGCAATTGTGTTTCTATTATTGTTCATTAAAAATAGGGTCACATCAAATACATATAAACTATAAGGAGATAGCCTGCACTCCTAACCTGATTAGTTTGTAATCCAATCAACAAACAACCAAAGTCTAATTTGCCTCACTTTAACATCTGTTTCTCCATTACGAGTAAGAGTTATACACAATCATGCACACTTATATCCAACACTATATGACAACCTAGTCCTTGCCATCCTATGTACTAGTTGCCACAAGCCTCGTCACCAATCATATATTCATCTTCCAAAATGGTTACAAACTTCCAATGCAAGAAAAATTAACAACCTAATAAATGATTTATTTTCTCTCCATTTTACTGGTATAAATTTATTGTTATAAAACTTATGATCACAAACCCAACCTTAGTAACAACCTACCCAAATTAAATGCAAAAATCTGGCTTAACTTAAATTTGAAGATCTTGAATCTAATAAGGAGAATTTCATGATAATTTTTAATTTGTATTCTCAATTTGATATTTTTTTTGTCTTGATGGAGATTGATGATGTTAGCAATACGTTGATTAAAATTTTTAACAATTATAGGAATTTAATTAGAAGCTTCTAAATAAAAGTTTAAAAATTTAGTATAGCTATAAAGATTTATAGAATATTCTAAACTTATAAAATATTATTTATTGTTTTTCACTGTAACATTTAGTCAACTTTGTCTTATATGATTATGAAGGGACCAAAAATTATGCGATGGTTTAACAAATAAAAACTTGGAATCAACGTGTGGAAGACCCTTAGGCCTCAAGTTCAACACTATAACTTGTGATCTTTACATTGCCGATGCATACTTTGGGCTTCTAGCTGTAGGACCAAGGGGTGGTGTTGCAAAGCAATTAGCCACTTCTGCAGAAGGGGTTCCATTTAGGTTCACAAATGCCTTGGACATTGACACCAAAACGGGTGAGGTATATTTCACAGATAGTAGCATCCTGTTCCAAAGAAGGTAAGCTCTAAAATCTTATGGCATGCATTTCTACATGATATTATTTTACTTTTAAATATGTTTTTAATAGTACTTGTAATTTGAAAAAAAAAAAAAATTTTAGCTTCTTTGCTTAAATGTCAATTGTGAATTTATTTAATAAAATTTATCTATTATTGAATCCGTCATACAAATTTATTTTCTAATGTCTTTATTATTATTGAAAATATCACATTAAATTAATATAATAACTAATTGTCACAATTTGTTATTGTCAATTATGTTACTAGTAACTTTGAAATATTAAAATAAAACTTTTGAAATTATAAGAATAAAAAAAATTAATTTTAAATTTGACAAACATAAAAATAAATTTACCCTAATTTTAAAGAAAAAATACATTGGAGTCCTTTATAAATTTATTGTTTATGCTATTTTAGGAAATGGAACTTATTTGCTCTCTCCATGCTATTTTGTAACTTTTTCATCTTCTAACTCTACTTTTTTCCCTCCATAATGAAGGGTATATTTACCAATAATTCTTACCGGGGATAGAACTGGAAGATTACTAAAATACGTGCCAAGTACCCAAAGTGTGCATGTTTTACTCAAAGGCTTAGCATTCCCTAATGGTGTGGCACTTAGCAATGATAATTCCTTCCTTCTAGTAGCCGAATCAACCACTTTGAAAATTCTGAAGATTCGAGTTGGAGATTCCAAGACCAACATTATAGAAACTTTTGCACAACTCCCACGTTCCCCAGATAACATCAAAAGGAACGCTAAAGGAGAATTTTGGGTTGCACTGAACAGTGGCAGGGGATTGATTTCGAGATCAAAAAATGAAATTGAAACCACACATCTTCCGTGGACAACAGATCCTGTGGCAATTAAATTCGATGAAGATGGGAAGATCGTTGAGGTGTTAGATGGAGAACATGGACAACAACTTGACTCTGTGAGTGAAGTGGAAGAACATGAAGGAAATTTGTGGATAGGGTCTGCAGTGCAACCATATGTTGGTGTTTTAAAAGCTTAGTATGCATTCATGAATAACTAGTATTTTGGCATGAATAATGCACTCTTTTATATAGACTCAAATTTATAATAAATTATATATATTATAAATATTATATTTAAATATATAAGTTATTTAAATTTAATTAAATAGATATTTTAAACACATAAAATATATTTTTATATTTATGATAAATAATTTATATTATAGTTTAAGATTTTTATTTGTAGATAATTTATTCTAAAAATTAAAATTTAATTTATAAATAATTATGATAATAAAAATTAAATTAAATAAGAAATTAAAAGAATTCTTAAAAACTCTTGTTAAAAAAAATTATTAAAAATGCTCTCGCACAAGAAAGACGTTTATATTTAATATATAGTAGTTTTTCATATAATAGAAACTCTCATAGCATCAACAATGATCATGTGTAGCATCTCCAAAGGGGCTATCTAAAATGACTAGCTTCTTCTGTGTACAAGGGCCTAACTACAAGAAATATTAATATTATTAGAGGGGCAAAATCCATCTTCTAATCCATAAAATTTGTGTGTAACATCTATTTTTGATGATTAATATTCTGACGATAAATTGCTCGCATGAAACTGTTACCAACAGATTTCAAATTGTGGGTAGTTTTTTAAGGCAAATATTGATGGAATAATTTGTCTGTATTGTCATGACCTTACAGATGAATGCATTCGTGGAAAATTACATAAGAATATATTGTGGGTAGTTTTCCACGTATATACCCATATGCAATTTTCCACAGATGTGACACCCTTACTACCTCAACACATATATATGTAACAATGTAAATAAACTAAAGAATAAAATTTTCAACGTTGGTAAAATGGTTCACATAAAACCTTCACAATTGTTCTTCAATATCCAAAATAATTGAAAATAAAACTTGGAAAGTAAACCTTAAGAGTTTACAAATTATTTTTAAAAAAGGTACAACTCCAAATACATATAAAAATTTATATCCTAGAATCCTCTGCCCCGATGTCACAATACCATAGCACACCCACAATTCAATTGTTGGCATTCTAGATGCCACTCAAAGCCAGATCTTCCTCACCTAAAACATCCACAAATTATACGGTGAGAAAAGAAAACATCTATATTAAAGCACATACAAACACACCACAATGTAATTTCATCATAACTCATTACATAATGAAATATTTACAATCATTTCTACATATCATAATTCTATCAATCATGCATCAACTACATATCACAATTTCACAATCACAGCAATCCATCACAAATCTTGCAATTAACACTATGTCAAGGTCACGCAACTCTTATAACATATCTTGCCCAAGGTCGTGTCATCCCTGACATGTTATCCAAGGTCACGTCACCTGCCTAAGGTCGTGCCATCCCTAAGGTAGTGTTTGTTTCTATTGATTTACTGTTCACGACGAACGAAAGGCGAGGAAATTTCACGTTTGTTTCTACTGATTTACGAGAATCACTTACCTAAGGGTCGTGTCATCCTTGGTCATTAGTGTGAGGAACCACAATCACATCACAATCCACACAAATCTTACAATTAACCCTATGCCAAGGCCATGCCACAACTGACATAAGTGATACGTGTTAATTACCTAACTCATCCCACACTATGCTAAGGTCACGCCGTCCTTGTAGCATCACTTACTCAAGGGTCATGCCATCCCTGGTCATTAGTGTGAGGAACCACAATCACATCATATTCACATTCAATACAACATCCCATCTCATAACTCAAATTCCATATCACATACAGATAAGTCTACACAATACAATGATTCACATACCCTTCAAGTAATTTACCATGAATACACATCTATAACAATAATATAACAATAATATTTATAAATTAATATAAAACTCAATTAATTCACCAATTTCATACAATATTAAATCAAATAGTAAAACTCCCAATTTTTCTAAAACCTAACTCACAGGCACATTTATACAATTTCGTTCTCTCTTCCAAATCATCATTTTCACAAATTAAATATATATTTCTAATCCTCAATACATGTAAAATCTAATGGGATCATCAATTCCTCAAATAGAAATAATTATAAAATTACCTTCCAAAACCTAACTCACAGACACTTTTCTACAATTTCTTTCTCTCTCCCAAATCATCATTTTCATAAAATAAATATATATTTCTAATCCTCAATACATGTAAAATCTAATGGGATCATCAATTTCTTAAACAGAAATAATTATAAAATTACCTATAATCCTAAGGGATTCTTCCTCTACCCAATTCCCTCATGTAACTCTGCATACAAATAATTTCCCTTTCCCCCGTACCTCGATAAGTAGTAGCTGAAACTAGAGCAGGATCTAGTTGGTCTCCTCCTCTAGGTTCCCCTCGGTCTTTAGAGAATGTAGAAGGAAAAGAAGTCAGAACTGAAAGGTGTGCTTTTTGGGAGTGCTAGAGCGCTCTATTTATAGACATCAAGAGTGGCCGGAACGGCCCGTTTCAAATCCGGAATGGCCCATTCTAAACTCTTTGTCATGTGTAAAATTTCACATCTAGAAAGGCCCGTTCTCAAACTAGAACGACCCGTTTTGGGGTTGCATTTAACCCATAACGGCCATATTTGAAACGACCCATTCCCAACTAGGGTTATAGGCCATTTTGGTGGTTTAGAACGACCCGTTCTGGGCTACCAAAAATAGCTCTTTTTAGTAGTTTGGAAAGGCCCATTCCAGTTTGGGAACGGCCCGTTCTAGGCTACTAAATCACCCATTTTGGACTTTTGGGCCTTCGTACAATCTGTGAAAATTGGGCTATTACAACAGATTTATCTATCAAAAAATTATTTGCATTTATTATTTGAAAAAATATATGTGTAATAGCATCACTATGTAAAGGGGGATCCTAAATAGGTTAGTAGCTTGCCTCACATCAATCATATGCTACACATTAAAGAAAAAGTAAAAGTACAAAGTGGGGGAACCAAACCAAAACCCACCAACAAAACAAAAAAAAAACAAAGAAAAAGATACAAAAGGAATCAACCAAACGGAAACAAAATAGCAAATAAACATGCATACAACAACCACCCTGCCAAAGATATTTGACCACATATAGACATCAACCTATGACCAGGAAGAATCATCTCTAACAAACCAACAACTTCCACAAAAGAGAAACCAGACAACTACACAAAGATGAACCAACTGAATAACCAAAAAATAAAATCCCCAATCCAAGAGAACTTAGGGGGCTTTGCCATTATGGATTTGGTTCTAGTCCTAGGAGTCAAAGTTACCTTGCACTTTTGATTTTTAGACCTTTGAGAAGGTTGAGCCGCCTCATTACAAACAAAACCTCTTTCAGCAAGGATGTTAAAGTCCTGTTGTACTAAAAGAGGGAAGTCAGACAAATCTTGGGACTCCAAGGGTGCAAAGGAAATCAATTTAGATATAAAGTCAGAACCAGCCTCTACAAGAAATGTAAAGTCACATGATTTTTTTACAAAAGGATCTTGAGATCTTGTAGCTTTGATTGCAATGTCTGGGGAGATAGTGTCACCAACCTTTATAGAGGAGCTGGAACCAATTTGGAAGAAACATCATGAGAATTTACATCAATATTTTGATTAGGAGGATAGGATAGGTTATGCACATCTAAAATATCCTCTAGAGATGGCACACCATCTAAATAAGAGTCATCATTTTCCACTGTTTGAGAAAAACGTAAGGCATTCAAATCCTACTGAACTAAAGTAGGAAATGTTGAGCAAGCAACCGGATTAGGAATAATGATATTATTTTGAGCAGGCTACAAAACGACTAGATCATGGTCATTCTACAAGAAAACTTTTTCTTTTGCACTTGAAAGTGTAGACGTGTCATTATCCGTAGGTAACGTCCATATTGTTTTAAAAAAACATTTTAAAATCTTGTTATTAAATTATTATTAAGTCTGTTTAAAATATTATTAAATAAAAAGGAAAACAATATAAGAACATTAATCTAATTATAATAATATAAATTGGAACAAGCTCAACCATCACTACTAGAAAACTGGTGTTTAACATTGCTATATCTACATCGGTTCTAGTAGAAACGATGTAAATCATAAACACGTGCGGTGCCAATCTTATAAATAAATAGAAAATGCAAACATATTTACATTGGTTGGGTGGAGAAACGATGTAAATATGAACAATTATACATCAGTTTTATTATTGACTGATGTAGAAATGAAACCAGGAAGTTGTTCTACATGTAAATCGGGTTTGCTTTTGACCGATGTAGAAGTCAAACCCAAATATCTCCCCCCGCGAACACCCATGGAAAGCATACCCTTTCAGCAACCTTCCCAGCCCGCCGCGAGCAACGATGGAAAGCAATCCCCCTTGACAATGTTCTCAGCCCTCTTCTCTTCTCTTCTTTCGCACACTCTTCTCAGTATTTTGCAAGAAGATGAAATTTTCAGACTGGAGAGAATATAGCTTCTCATTCTGTCAGTGAACAAATCTAGGGTTGTAGACTTTTCCTTCAGCTTATTTTCTGTGAGATGATTCTTTTTGTTGCTTTCACTACTGAAAAATTAGTATATTACGTCACCTATTTTACGTCGGACATACAAAAATCTGACGTAATAAAAACACGGTGGCATGTTTCATAATTTTAGTTAAATTATTTATGTCGAACCTCCTAGGGTCTGATGTACATTTTAACATCTACGTTGGCTATGCATTGTGTCCAACGTAGATGTTAAAATTGATGTCGGACCCTACCAGGGCCGACGTAAATAACCCAGAGGATCGGCCCGTTAAAAGAAGGTGTACACTAGCTAGAGATTTCAAAAACTTCATCTAGGGTTTCCTTCTCCCATTGTGCAATAGAGGCCACACGCGAGAAATCCCTCTTCTTCCTCCTCAAATCGTGGCTGCCCTCGCAGTTGGAGCCACTCCCCGATGACCTCGTCCACCATCCTCCACACCATGCGCTGCGAGTGGTCCAACATCAACGCCATCCGCCTCGACAAGTTCTACCTCCTCATCCGCACCTCCTCTGAAGCTTAGGAAGG